GCGTATAAAAGTTGAGATGGGAACGGGGAGAAGCGTGCTACTACCGCTACGCTATTCACTACCACAGTCGCAAGCGATGCACCCCACAGTGCATGCTTTTTATGCGTTTTTGCATGCTTATATTTCAAGCCTCTCAAAGCCGCCCGTGGCATCTGATGGCATCTTAGTGCAGTTACACAGGATACCCACACTGACTGTCCGCGCGGTCGCAGTATTCGTGATATATTTCAAATAGAATAGTGCCATGGAACTAATTTCAGGCACTAAATCAAAAATAAAAAAGCATTTTGTAACATGATAAAATTCAAGTGTCTGCATAAAAATGATTTTTTGTATAAAAAATTTAGAGAAAATCTGAGATGAAGAAGAACGTTTCGGTCCAATAAGTCGTATAGATTTCTCTAACTGGCACTACAGCTGGACCTCGTCAGTATGGTGTTAATATGTGTGCAAGAGGTAATGTTAATATAAATGAACAGTGGCTAATATTGTGAATGCACATCCATGGGGGTCATTTAAGCATACTCTTTTGCAAGATAATTCTGATCCTGCAGGAGCTCAACGCACGAAGCGAGGAAATGGGCCTGAAAATTAATGCATCAAAGGCAAGGATGGTGTGATGTGGCTGCATACCTTCGGCAAGACTTTTGATAACGGTCTTGACTTGGAAAATTTTTGTTATAGGTAATACCTATCGATGACGTATATTATGTGTGAAGCATAAACACTTTCCCCGTTAAATTTTTAAAAGAAGTGACAAATCGATGGTCGAATCGTTCGTAGTATGCTTTCTTAAGTAATGTCGAAACTGATTTTAACCTTTGCTGAATGCCGTCTTTGTTTTCTGTTTTCTGCAACAGCTACTACGTTTCCACTGCCCGGAACACCTCTCTGAAGAAGTGAATACTTTAAAGTGTGCTTTGATAACAGTTGTTGATTTTACTGTAGGAAATTACTGCACTTGGTACTGTGTTAATTCAGTGAAGTGATTTAAATTTTGTGATGAATCACAAAGTTGTACAACTGTGACCGAAATTCAGTGTTTCATCGAGGTACTTTCTTAATAACTTGAAACGACCATTAGTCCATCAGTGACATGGTCGACAGCTATGCCATTTTTTTCTTTTTTTGATAGTTTGATTAATTCTCGTTTGCTTGCGCCTTCTTGCGATTATAAAAACCCAGATAGTAAAGCATCAAGCTTACCGGTGCGATCGTTAGTTTTTGCACCAAACTTGAAGTACTGAGGTCATTAACTGCATGAATGGTTTTTGCTTTACACTTACCTTTTGCGCTCACTATGGTAAGCACCAATTTTGCATAAAGTAAATAATTCCCACTTAACGGTCGTTCCTTGAAAGTAACCTATCTGTTCAGTGAGCAATTTTCTCCCCAAAACTTTCATACGCCCTCACTTGATTACCACGTATACCTGGAAACTGAATTTGAAATCTTAAGCTCAACATGCACAGGAACTATCCGTGCAAAGTTTCAGCCTCTTATCTTGTCTGGTTCTCGACTTAAAAGTGGGTGATGAAAAGTGACACACACACACACACACAGACAGCCTCTTGCCAATATGCATTTTTACAATTTGCGTATGTGCAAAAACGCGTAAAGACTGGTAAATATATTGAATTTCATCCTTTCTCTACAGAATATACGCATAAATAAATATAACAAGGACAGAAAAGTGATAGGATAAAGATAAAAAACAAATATGTATTATTAGGTAATAGTAAATGGAGTAATAATGAAGTTGGTGTATTTGTAAGATAAGTTTACATGGATTTTATTTATGTGTGTGCGTGTGATGAAATATTCCGTGCTAATCGCATCTTATAGAAATGTATTAAATATTTTAAGCAGCAATATTTCTGAACTTTATTGACTTCTGCACAAAATAATTTTTAACAAACGTGTTGTAGTACTTCGATCAGCTCCGGTTCGTAGTATGTTTTAGTACATTTCTGAAAATACATTTTTTTTTTATCGAAGAAAATCCGCTGAAAATATCCCTACGCGAAAAAAATTTAAAATAATCCTAACATTTGGAAGATTTCACGCGAAATTACATAATCGCGCAATTTGCAAAAGTATGTGATTGATTTTCGCAGTCATTTCCTCTATGCATCGTGTTTTACGCTGAATGGAAACAATATATTCTACAATTTGATGTGTATATTAACGAATATATATTCATTAATGTACGATTCTTGTAACGATTCTTACGATTGTTAAACAATTCTTATAATCACGATAGCGAGAGCTGTTTTTGTGTTTACATTTGTCGTAGTCTTAACTATAAACGCGCCAGCGGCAGGCATCAAGCTTGCTGGTGCCACTACGCTTTTTCCCATGATTTCGTGCAAAAATAAGTTCGTAAAACCTGTCATGCGTTTTTCACGTAAATTTTCCGCGAAAAAAATATTACAAATATTTTTTTTTCTATTACAGTGATGAGGGCTAACTTGGATGAAACGGCGCACTATAAGCAGAGGCAGCAGGAGGCGGAAAGTCTACGACGAGTAGCATTCTGTGGTGTAGCTCTGTCAACAATAGCCTCATTACTTTGTGCGCTTTCGGTACCAATGTTCTACAATTACTTGCAACATGTACAGTCGGTGATGCAAAATGAAGTTGATTTTTGCAAATCGCGCTCCAGCAATATATGGCGAGAAGTGACCCGGACACAGGTCAGTTGCATTATCATTTACTGGAGCGAAAATTCTTTTGGTTAAGGTCAAAAAGTTTCAAGTGGAGTATCCTAGTAATAGGTCATCATGAATTTTTTTCAAAAAGTACCGCATTTCTAAATATTTAGCATGGAGGAAGAGTTTTAGCAAATTTTGAAGAATACGTTGGGAAAATTTTTGTTTGTTAGAGAATATCTCAGTACAGAAAGATTTTTTGTGGTAGTATGCTGGCATAAAAAGTGAGTATGAAAGAGACAAATAATCAAGTTTTTACGATGCGCATCATGAACACCAAGAATACTAAGATAACCAGGGCTAACAGTGTGGCTATCTCATGTTACTATTGCTGCTAAGTGTTCCCCGACATCAGTCATAGTGCACTTGGCCTTTCAGTTCTAGACTGCATACCGTCAGCTAGTACCGCATACCTTCAGTTAGTAAGCATCCCACTTCGCCCGAGACTGCTCGAGCAGTTATTTTTTTTTCTTATGGGTAAACTCCCTAGTGTGCGACGTCCGCCAGTTGTGGAGCACCTTGTCCGATCCAACGAATTTAAAGAAAATTTACTGCTGATTTTTTTTTTTTTGCATTGAACAAACTTCCGTGACAAGTTTCGTTAAAAAAAAACGTCTAACTGTTTTCTTCATCTCTTCAATGGCCATTATTCCTTTTTCTGCAGTTTTCTTTTTTATGCGTTTAGTCCTCATAAAAATTTGCAAGACAAATAAAGAACTGAGTGGCCTTCAACAAACGAAATCTCGGCTCCAGGTCCCTTTAGTTCCCAAATTTCATGTTCCAGGAAATTTGCATAAATGGTTTGTTAAAAGAAAATTTAATGTTCGTGCGCCTGAGTAAAGAACGCGCTGCACAAAGTATTAAGAGAACATATAATTCTGTCAGCTTCACCTGTCGGGCGAACTGTTGAGCTGGAGAGGAAACGAATACTGGCCGGCTGACCATCAGCTAATGTAGGGCTGGTCAAGGCACGAGTAAATTTTCTAGCTGTGCAGCCGGGGAGCTAGCTATGAATTACAGCTGACCAAAATATTGTAAAAAGTATTTATGCCTGCGCAAAATTATAGATTTGAACTAAAGTTAAACCCAAAAATCCAAGATCCTTTTTTTCTAGCTAGCTGTTTTTGAGCGCCGCAGACCGTCAAAAGTGCTTCAGCTGAGAGTTGGAATTATATACACTAGGCGAGTTGTCAATAACTTCTTTTTTTCTTCGACTGCTTGGAGACAAGTTGAGAACTACTATGGCGCCCTGGCATACGTCAGCACCAATAATCAACGAAGTATCAAAGAAAAATTGGAATTCTATGAATCGAACTTACGATTTATTTTCTTAAGCAGTGCCGCTTCCCAGTGTAATAAGCTCTCCAGTGTGACAATATTATAACCCGGAAAAAGAAAATAAGCGGAGCTGCACATCAGTTAGGTAGATAGGAATTATGCGTCGTTCGCACGATATTTTGTATTAATATCTAACTCATACAAACATCACGCGGAAGGCGCATAATTGCTGAAAGCAGTAGCATACGAATACGAAACTTGGTCACTGACGAAAGTTGAAAAGCGAGCGCTGGTTGTAACAGCGAAAGTGATGGGATGAAAGAATGCTCGATGTATTTTCA